AAAAAAACATAGAGTGAATACTCCATATCAGATAACCAGCTACTATAAACATCCAGCAGCTTTGCAAGTCTTTTAACCTTAATAGCCCATGGTATTTCTTTTTTACTAGATCATTAACTCACATGTACAGTACAGTACTTATACTATACATGTGTAGCCAAAATGAGGCAACACAATAGGTTCTATACTCTTCTGGTCACTCACGCGGGCTCGAGCGGCGTCTCCGGCTCCTTCCCCGCCCGCGCCGGGCTTTCTCTCTCTCTCTTCCACCTCTTGCCTCCTCTTGGCTTCAGGCCAACCCGGCAGTCGAGGGGGAGGGGCTTCTCGCACCGGGCACCGCCCACACACCGGAAGGCCAGGCCTCGTCTTCCGGCTCTCTGGCCGGGCGCGTCGCTCCTCACTTCCGGTCTCGATGGTTTCCATCCCACCGCCCCGCGTCGTTCTCTCAGCCAAGAAAGGCCTCCCCCGCCCCTGAAGCCACGCCCCCCTCCCCGGAGGAGAGGCCTTTTTTCAGCGGCGCGCTGGGATTGGTCGGAAGGAGGAGAGCTCCGCGGCTGGGATTGGACCGGTCGCTCTTGTGGTCGGAAGGAGGAGAGCTCCGCAGCTGGGATTGGGCCGGTCGCTCTTGTGACGTCAACAAAGCGCGAGCCGGGGGGGGGAAAGAAGAAGGGGCACGTAGGCCCTGGCGATTGGCTGGGAGCCGGTAGTGACGTCAGGCGCCGGCACGTGTACTTGTGGCCGGCGGAAGAGCCCGGAAAACGGGGGAGAAAAGAGTCGTGGGAAGCTTGCAATCAGTTCCTCATCCTGGGTTTCCTCTCATGTTACCGGTAGAAAGCGCGGCGTATGTAAATTTAGGCCAATTTATGTAAATAAGGAGTCGGGAGGAGGTCAGGGGGAGGAACGTGAATGGAGCTGAGCTTTTTATTTGTATATATATATTTTTATTTTATTTGTATATTTTAGTTTATTTGGCAGCCCTTTCCAATAAGGGTACTCACGTGAGGTGATTTTCAGTATTTGTGGGTTGTGCCTTGTGAAACTGGTTCTGTGATCAAGGCACTGTCCAATTCAAGAGAAGATTGGATCCGGGCCAAAATATATATATATTTTTTAATTTCTCAGTTTTGCAGGGATGCTTCTAATGCGTGTGTGTTTCTGCCCCCTTTGGTCTCCAGGTTGAGTATGGATTACCTGTCTAAACCCAGCCTTCTGAGCGTAATTACTGGCATCACCTGCGGGGTGTGCTTGGGTTGGCACCTCCGAGCCCGATTCTTCCGGCCGCCCAAAAGCCGAACGGCTGCGGTTCCCAACGAGCTGGGCGACGAAAGCAGCGTAATGGGCGAATCGGGAGAATTTAAGATGGTGATTGTTGTCCGGAACGACTTGAAGATGGGGAAGGGCAAAGTGGCCGCCCAGTGTTCCCATGCGGCGGTTTCAGCCTACAAGCAAACTCAGCGCCGAAACCCCGAGCTCTTGAAGCAGTGGGAGTATTGTGGGCAACCGAAGGTGGTCCTCAAGGCACCCGATGAGGAAACTCTCCTTCAGCTCCTCAGCGAAGCTAAAGAACTGGGACTGACAGTGAGCTTAATCCAGGATGCTGGCCGGACTCAGATCGCGCCGGGTTCTCGGACTGTCCTCGGGATTGGACCAGGACTGGCTGAGTTGGTGGATAAAGTTTCTGGTCATTTGAAACTCTACTGATCGTCCTCCCGGAGGGCAAGATGGAGGTCGAGTGTGTGACGTTAAAACCAAAAGAAAAACCAACAGGCTCTCAGAACAGCCTGTTGCAGCTGGCATGATAGCACAGCGTAGCTTAGAGGGCATGTAAGGAAAGAAGGCTAAGCCAAAATAATGATCATTAAATACAATCATGATCCCCCCCATTGTGCTTCCAGTATAGGGTATGTACAGCAGATAAATAAAAGTTTTGTGTTTTTATTTTAAGGAGGTTTCTAAGAGTTGCATTGTTTTAAGGAAAAAAGATGTACATAAGTGATGGCATGGTTATAAACAGAATATGGTTTGTTGGGGAATCCCTTGATGGGTTTCTCACAGCTGCAGATCAGCTGTAAATTTTTTATTATTTCACCTGTACTGTCCCATTAGTGCAAACACTCTCTGGACAGTTGCTGTGGGTTTTTCAGGCTCTTTTGCCATGTTCTGAAGGTTGTTCTTCCTAACCTTTTGCCAGTCTCTGTGGTACTGTCCTCTGAAGATGCTGGCCACAGAGACTTGCGAAACGTTAGGAAGAACAACCTTCAGAACACAACCAAAGAGCTCGAAAAACCCACAAGAACCATTAGATCCTGGCCATGAAAGCCTTCACAAATACTCTCTGGACAGTTCACAACGCATCAGGTCATTGTTATACATCATATATCGGGAGATACTTTAATTCAATGTAGCTTTTGGAAAAAACACACACGGCCGTGAAAGCCTTCACGAATACACTCTGGACAGTTCACAATGCATCAGGTCATTGTTATACATCATATATTGGGAGATACTTTATTTAATTCAATGTAGCTTTTGGAAAAAAAAAACACGATCTGATCACAGTGGCTCAGTTATTTCACATATTTGAGGGGAATTCCACACCTACTCTCGTGAATGTTATAGCCAGTCTTTCCTCTCTTTTGAAAAGCAAAGTTTATTTTACTCCTCTCTTTGCCCACCAATAAAAAGGTGGTGGGAGATCTTGTCAAGGCTTTCAGAAGGATATGTGTATAGGATTGGCGAGGCAGGATGTTCCCTCATGCAGGGAGAGGCTTTCACAATGCTGTTTGCTCTCTCTTTCGAGAGAAGAGTGTGGTGTCAAGTTCACAAGAGAAACTAGCTTGTCCTGGTGCACGTGGGGAAAACAACAAGGCATTTTCCAAAACAGGAGCTGCTATTCTCTACTCTAAATAACAGCTGCCTTTGTTTGAAACGCTCTGGCAAGAAAGGGAACTGATGCAATCCCCATGTAAGAAAAGTAGCCTGTTTTCCACCCCTGGCAGCTTGTCTCCCTTGTGAAAAACTAAGCCAGTGCTGCCCCCTTGTGGCACTTTTGCCACACAGCTCTTGGTGGATTTTCTGGCTGTGTTTTGCTTCCAATCCCTGTAGATTGCCTGGAAATTAAGATCACAGGGCAGCCTGTGCACTGGATATATGTAAAAAACATTTTTTATGGTCAGGCAGCTCCAGCAGCCTGTTTTCAGTTGTGGGTCAGCCACAGGCCACCAGAAATGGAACAGGCCAGGCAGCAAAGAAAACCAGCTGCCGTGGAGCAATGAAGAGCTTTTATTCCATCCATGTGCTAAGACTAGATCTTCTAAATGAACGTGCACAGGTGGGGAAACTGAACAGCCAGGGCAGAGGGAAAGAAAGCAAAACAGGTACACCCAGGGGGAAGTTGTCTTGCAAGTTGAGGAACCAAAAACCAGGAATCTGGGTTCACCCGTCACAGTGAAAAGGGCCTCAAAGGGTGCCCTGTCCATCATCTTCCTCAGACTCAGGCCTGAAACTGTTGACGCTGGAAAACATTTAGCACAGCAGAGTTGCAATCCCTTCATTCCTATCTCAAGCCCAGCGGAATTTGTACTACTTCCAAGTCATCTGACTCTTCTTAAGTCAGTTATGAGAAAGGAGAAAATCTCTGGCTGATCTTAAGGCTCAGTTACAGGCACAAAGCAATGGCAAGTCTTTCGGAGATGGACAGCGTGTGTCCCTTATTGTAGGACAGCCTTACCTGTCAGCCCTTCGTTATTGGCTGTGCTGGCTAGGATTTGGGACATTTGCTTGCCCCAACCTGAAGAATGTGTTTCGTGTGCTCCTATTCGAAGCAGTTCCTCTTCAAAAACACAATTTTCCCTGTAATCTGTTCCCTTCCGTTCCTTTTTGAGCAGCCCATAATCCATTAAAAATAAATACTATTGATTATGGTGTTAAAATAAAGACACCAAACAAGTAGTTTGACAGGCGCCTGTTCTCTGCCCGCCCATCTGCTCCCTGGTTCTCACTCATACTGGGAGTTGAGTTGCCTGTTGTTACAGGACTTGACCGTTTACGTCCCTCCAGCTGATATACGGACTGGGTGTTCAGAGTAGAGTGTGCACAGTAACCTATGCGACCAAAAAAAGAGCTCAAAATTGTGGGGAAAGGAGGGGAGAGCGCGGTTGGGTGAGTAGATGGCTTCAAGGCCCACAAATAAATCCGAGATAGAGAACACGCCCATCTTGGTTCCCGTTGCATTCTTTTTACCCCTTCCCTGTAATCCAGAACTCACAAAATTAGTCCAAGGGATTAACAACAAGCCCATCTTGCAATAACGTCCAGTATGTGGTTTAGTCCAAAATTACCTAGCAGGAGAAGAGGATCTGATCCTTTCTAGGTATAGTTCTGGTGCAAACAGGCGTGCAGGGTGTTTTTTCTCCTCATCCGAGTGCGCTCCGTACAATTTGGACGGCACTCCCTCCAATTCACAGCTGGTCTATGCCAACTGGAGGATGCCGGAATTTGAGAAGTCTCCGGTCGCCCTTCCCACTCGGCCGCGCACCAGAAACGTGAAAGAAAGCCTTCCGGTGCAAGAATCTCGCTTCCGCAGGCAGAGTGTCATTTGCAAAATAAAAAAAGGACAGGAATGCAAAGAACAGCACTGAACATTGAAGTCATTTTTTATTTTTTCGAAGCTAAATATATTAAGGCAACTTAACATACCTATAACATGATCTTTTTGTCAGATTTAAAACTGGAAACACTCAAAACTACAACCCTAAAGAGGTTTCTGGTTTTTTTTTTCACCTGGGTAGAAGAGGCTGGCTTGTAGCCAGCTGACAAAAAGTGCTCTCCACCTCCCCCCCCCCGTGCAGTCTATAATTCCAAGCATTTTTATCACACACATCTCAAGTCATCTTCAGTGCAAGCGCCCTGCCAATATAGTCTCTGTCGTAACAATTTTGGTTTTCTGCTAAGTTGCTGGTCCCTCCCGCTGACCCAAAAAAAGACTAGCCCACCTTTCCTCCTCCCTTTTCTTGTGGTTTTGAGGCGAAGTGCATACATCGTAAAGGGTTTCGAAGAGAGATACATACTGAAAAACCACTATAGAGTATGTCCACAGTCCAGTAATTTATTTATATTCTCCCCCCCCAATTCAGCGTCATTTTCAATTGCACAAACAAAACTGAACAGTGACTGGGATAGTCTGTCCCTTCCCCTCCTCCTCTGAATCTCTATTCTCTCTTTTCTGTACAAATCGGGGGGGGGGGGAGGAAGGGAGTCAGCTTGAATACCACAATACCCAACATACACAAAACCTCAGGGCAGGGTTAAGTCAAACACACGCAAAATTGGATTTATGGTGTTCCCGCTTGTTTTTCAATGTAAAGTAAAACTGGTCCCCACAAGAAAGCACAGGGTACAAGTAGCACAACAAAAGGGATCATCTGTTTATTACATATGGAGTGAGCAAACACTTGCATTTTTATTTTTGTCTACAACTAGCTGGAAACCTCCAGAGGTTAATACGAGGGGGGGGGAGCTCTACTAGGTGGATTCTTTGTAAAATTCAGGAAAGGTTCTCTGTACGCAACTTTGAAAGATAGTTTGGTGTGTCTTTTTTTTTTCAAAGAACAAAGCAATCCAACTGGGAGGGGTAAGATATGCCAGTTAGTGTTTTTACCCCAAATAGAAATCCTTCTCTGTGAGGTTGAACTTTTCCGCCTCTGCCTCCCCCCGCCTTTGAAAGATACAAGGAGACTGTTTTAAAACGTGGTTTTAGATAAAGACGGTACGTATCTGTAAGCTGCTCACATACGAGGAACTTAAGAGAGAGTTTAAACAGGACAGAGTGAAAAAATCGGAAAACTCACAAGAGACCGGGGTTAATGTCAAGAAGCAGTCCTGCCGAAAAAAAGAGAGGAAGCTGACTTAAACATTTAAAACCATTCCCATCTGGAGGGCGGGAGGGGGGAAGAGAAAAAAGTTCTACGCGAGATGGAATGTGAGAAAAGGATTAGGCGGAAGTGGGAGCCAAAGAGCCGGCAGGGAAGGGAAAGGAGACAAACCAAAACAAAAAACAAACACAGTCCTTCATAAAGTAAAGGTTGCAAGGCCCGGAGGCTCTTTTTTTTCCTCTTCTTCTTCTTCGCTTGCTGGGTAGTTGAGGGCAGGACGGTGGAGACTGAAAATAAAAACCACGCCAGCTTCCAGAATCGCTTCCTTACATGGTGTACCCGAAACCGGGCTGAGGTTGCCCGTAGGGCGGTGCGGTGTAGCCATAGCCGAAAGGTGCTTGCGGGGGGACAGCCACGCTGGGGCCCGCCGTCAACATGAGCTGGGGCTGACCTGGGAGAAGAAGGAGAAAGGGAGGGGGAAAAAGGTGAGAGGCGGCAGCTTTCCAGCAGACCTGCTTTCCATATAGTTCCTACCATTACGCCTGTCTAGGACCTCGGATTCTTTCGGGAAACAAGCTTGGAAGTCAAGGAGGAAGGCTGGGGAAGAGGTTTTGGACCTCAGTTCCCAGAATCCCCAGGCAGCACCGCCCAAGGAGACGGGTGATGGGAACTCTAGTCTCTTGCCACCTGGAGCCTCCTAGTCCGGCAAAGAAAGCCTCTCTTCCCTGATGGCATCGTTTAAGGAGTTTCCGGCCAAAGGCCCGTCTTCTTTGGCAAGCCAAGGATGGGCAACATGCAGGGGCACGCGGAAGTTTTAACTACAATTCCCACCAGCCTTAGACGGCACAGCCAGCAAATAGAGGTCCACCGGCTGCCCGCCCCTCATTCAAGTCCAGCTAATCCAGTTACCAAGACATCTTGTCTCCATGGTCCCTGATTCAAACCACCTTCTTCAGCTCTAGTTGGTTTTTAATCTTTCCAAGACCAACATAAAGGCTTCCCCACCTGTTGGTCTACAGCCTAGCCTGGCTTTTGATTCTGCCAAATTTTCCTCCCTCTTTTTTTTTAAAAATCTATCACTGGCTGTTTTTCTATGGCTTTTATCTGCCATGTTACTTGCCACACTGATTATTCGATACGCATCTCCTCTGTTACAATTTTCCTTCAGGGAAGAAAGGTAGGGAATGTTAAAGTCCCAAATCAGCAACTGGTTTTGCTGGAGACAGGAGCGGCCAGGAGCCCAAGGCTTGAAAAGACTGCCGGCAACTCCCAACCCCTGGGGGCATGTTGCTTGTGGCCCTTCCGGACGACTGGCTGTAAATTCTCATTATTCCTCGCACCATTGACAGGCAGAGGCCCGAGACCCTGCTGTCCATCATTTACCTTCCTATCTGCTGATCATCGTGGTCTTCTTCCCCACCTTAAAAACTTTGACTGGAAGAGAACGGTGTTGAAAATGAAATCGCCATAAATGCTCTTACCATAAACGATGGGTTGTGTCTCCGTCGCCTGCTCCTCCTCTTTCCTCAGGGATTCAGAGGCGTCCAGCTTGTCCACCTAGAAAGACAGGGAGGAAAAAAAAACAATCATCAGGCAAAATTGCACCGCAACCTTTCTACGTCCTATGGTTTGGGTTTTTTTGTTTTGTTTTGTTTTCTGGCAGAGAAGTGGAAAAGCCTTCGATGGGAATGAAACACAGTCAAAAGAAAAGAGACCACTTACAAAATAAAGAAGTGGGGGAAAGCCAGGGATGGGCAACTGATTAAGATGGGGAAGGGGGAAGTGCATCTACAACTTTCTTGGTTCAGAGACATCCAAGAGGGTCTACTGATAAACTTCGAATACAAAACTGGCCCCTGCCACTCAGGCATCTAATTGCGGGATCATAGCTTAGACTTCGCCCCATTTTGGAAGTCTGAACTTGGGTGACTAAACAGGGAATGAGTTCCCACAAACAAACACAGCTGCAAATCTATACTTCTCTGGATGGTTTTATCATGGCCAGAGGTCGGCTTCAGTGCAGACCTCACTCAGCTCTGACTGAGGCCATGTCCGGTAACTTCCACTGAAGCAGAATCTACCCTGTTTTGCTTGAATGGAGATTAGCAGGCAGGCAAAGGGAACCGGTCAAGGGCTGCTCAACTCTGAACTGTTGTTCCTCCGAGGACCATCCCCCACCTGAGCAGTTTGGGAAAAGTTCTGGATGGTGAATCCCAGAATCTAGTCCTGCTGAGCTGGGTTTTCAGAAGCTGTCTTCTCAAAAAAGCAACTATAAGCCAGAAAGAAAGGGAACCTTCTGACCCCGAGACCCCACGGAAGACCATCTCTTCCTTTTTTTAATTTCACAAAGGCCTTGGAAACCCCAGGAATGTTCACGAGCCCAACCTCTCATCTTGATCTTTTGCTGGAAAATCAACTCGGTCTTTTTAAAATCATGACCGTGACCCTTAATAAAGAAGACTCGACCAGCACCGGAGAACTAGTCGTAGTCTAAACCACTGGTTCTTAACCTTGGGTTACTCAGGAGTTTTGGACTGCAACTCCCAGAAGCCTTCACCACCAGCTGTCCTGGCTGGGGTTTCTGGGAGTTGCAGTTCAAAAGCATCCGAGTAACAAAGGTTAAGAACCACTGGTCTAAACTCTGCTGGGCCCAAACTCTGCAACGTTGCTCTTCCACCACAAAGGCTTGTTCCAAGGCATGGCAGAAGACACATGCGCATGGGGGCATGCTCGACTCTGGATGCGAGCTGCAGCAATTAAAAGAGCGTTGGACTAAGCTGGAATCTCATCAGCTATCACTTGTGTCTCACTTCTGACTTATGGCAACTGCCAGGGTTTCCTAGGTGCAGAGTATTCAGGTGTGGTTTTTACCATTCTTCCTCTCTACAGGTGCTTTGGGCCTCCGCAGCTTGCCCAAGGCCACGCAGGCTGGCTCTACTCGCAGGAGGCCCAGTGGGGGAATCAAAGTCCTAACCTCTGGCTCCGCAGCCAGATGCTTAAAGCCTTGAGCTATCCAGCCAAGCTTCTGCTTTGTCACTCCAGAAAGAGAAATTTGGAACAGCTTATTTTTTTAGAATGTAGTTTTAGTGGACCCAAGTTGTTCAGCAAACCAGATGGCTGAATATATATATATATTTTTTTGGGGGGGAACCACAAGTTCCAAGCATGTTAATAACTTGGGGGTTGGGTTCCCCCCCCCCTTCACAAGTGATGCTACTGTTGTGATGAGCAACTGGGTCAGGAACACGGTCCCTTCAAAAGCATCACAAGCTCAAATCGGCAGACGCCGTGATCTCAATTCCAAGCAAAGGATCCAAAACCCACAACACTTTGCAAGCTTGACCACCTTGTCCTGGGGGGGGGGCAGGCCCTATATTTCTGCACATTTCAGTAAGTGTGAGACGAGGATAAAAACAGAATAGCCAGGAGTGTGTTTAAGAGATGCTGAAGCACAGATCCAGAAGGAAGAACGCAAGCTAAGCACAGAGGAAGCTTCCACGTGGCCAGCCGAAGTTCTAGACAAGGCCATTAATTTAAAAAAAAAAAAAAAGGAAGAAAACTACAGTGTCTTCTGATTTTATTCAGCTGTCTCTCAGGAAACAATGTCTATATTACATCACTGAGAAACCCAATACTTTTTTCCTCCTTTAAAGTGCAGAGGGACAGTTAGGAGAAGCTGTTCCCTTTATATAAAACCACACCACGCTGCTCTACGGACAGGTTTATTAAGTGCATACTATGGTGTTTAAAGAAAGGCTTTTCCACAGAGACTGCGCTAAGCTGCAGGGGGGGAAAGTAAAGAAAATATAAAGAGAAGTCACATGCGGTCAATGTTATATTATCAGTGCTACGTGTGCATGGGAAAAAAGGCAAAAGAACTGAAGCAAGGAGTGAGATTGGAAGACGGCAGCCGAACAGGCTCCCTCCCGCCGCCCCCCCCACCCCAAAAGAGGTTCACAGCACGCAGCCCCCACCCTGCAAACAGCAATGCCTTGCAGCTTCAGGGGGGGAAAGTGAGATGGACATCACAATGACGGTCAGGCATGCTCAGTTCCGGGGAAAGCAACACACTGCAGTTCGTTTACCTTTTTTCACACCACACTTTTCGACCGGTCTGGACTAACTAGCTGCTGAAGGACTTTTTTTTCCCTTTTCCTTTTTTTAAAAAAAACGGGAATGGATTGGGAATTCCAGTTCGTTGCTGGTTTCAGCGGCTCGGGGGGGAGGAGGGCAGGCGGGGGGGAGGAAGCCAAAGGCCTAGCAAAGGGCCCTGTTGCCTTTCTTTTTGCCAATTTTGGGGAACCTGGGCGATTCTGCATCAGAGAACCCCTAGCAGTCAAAAAAATGGAATTTGAGCCGCCGAAGCAGTGGCCTTTTAAAAAATATGTAATTTTTTTTTTTTTGCATTTGCTCGGGTGCAAGGCTCTTGAGTGTTTTTAACCCCCTCTTTTTTGGTTTAAGGGTGAGGAGGAAGAACCCAGAGGGTCCAGCCTTCAAGACATTCGCTTCAGCCTGGAAGGGAGGGGAGAAGCAGCCAGCTAGAACCATGAGAACCGGAGCCTTGACGAAATACTCTGAAACAGTCTCTAAGCAGCTAGTGGGATTCTGGTCTGGTCTGGTCTACTGTCAGCAAGACACATTAGTAAGAGGATCAGGCACAAGGATCACAGCCCTCTCCAGGGAGGCAAACAAAAAAAAAATCACTATGAAGTAAAATGCCCAAATTGCCACCCTGCTATATATGTCAGGGGGAGGAACCAGTAAAGTGATCGCAACACCATGCAATGGGTAATTTTATTTTTTAAAAAAGTTTCTTCAATTCATGCAACCTCTCTTCCAACCGTGATCCCACCTGACCTCTTTCGACCTTCCTGGAGAGTCTATCAGCCAATTAACGCCTACTAGTTTCATCCTACAGCTAGGACTACAGTCTCAATTGGCAGAGGCTTTAAGTGAGATTTGGCTCAGGGGGCGGGCGGGCAGAAAGCAAGTAGCTGCAGTGTAGTAAAGGTAAGGAAGGAGAGAAAAGAGAAGAGAGAGAGAGGGGGAAAAAAAACTCATGCAGATATCCTTAGACTTAGGCCTCCAGACTTAAAGATGGAAAAGAATCAACTGTCACCTTTTCCTTTATTGTATCAACCTGTAAAGGAATTCAAAAGGTGGAGCTTAGAGGGGGGAAAAAAAAAACACAGACACAACCAAACTCCTTTATTGAGCAAATCAGAAACAAAGAGTAAAGGAACACGGGAAGTGGGACCCCCCGCCCCAAAGCAGCACACCGGACATTACCAGCTGCAAAAAAGCCGAAGCAAGCTTCATATTCACGAGGGCAAGGAACCAGAGTCTCTCAACTTGCGCCAGATATGGCACGCAATAAACCACCGTGTCATAAAACCACCACACACTTTCAATTCCAAGGATTTGCTAGCCGTGGAAGTCGCCAACCCGACAGCAGAACAGTGGATTCCTATTCGGAACCCGTCCCCAAAGGGGTGAAAGATTTCTGGAGAAGCCGTTTTTGAAAGGACTCAGCTTCGGCAGGAGAGCGGGGGAGGGCGATGGCGGTGACTTAAACCCTAATCTCAGCAAGCAGGCTCAGAATCACCCTCCAAAGCACAACCAAGCACCCTAACCCTTTAAAAGGTGCCCCGTCTTCCATGCTGAGCCCCCGCAAAAGGAGGAAAGCAAGGCCTGCAGGAGTCAGCGTTCGCCCCCACGCTTGGGAGGGCTTGCGGACTACGAACACCCCGAAGGACCCACTGAGTTGCCCCCCCCCCGCTGATACTTTGGGGGAGCTGGGATTCCCTCTGCCTGGACCGGGAAGACCCCCAAAGGCACGATCTCTAACGAGGGCCAGATCAAGTGCTGATGTTTTAATTAAGTCAATGCCGCAAGAGGCCACCCGAGAAGCCCTCATTCAAGTTGCCGTCTTCTTAATGGCGCAGCTCGGCTTCCTTCGGGCAGATCAGAAAGCTCTTCACGATATAGCTACCTTTCTCTTGAAGGAACTTCAGCTCCCAGAATCCAGAGACTATGGAGCCTGGGGGATGATGGGAGTGGCTGCCCCACAAATTTACTTTTCCAAGTTCTGGCTTTGCAACTAGAAAGAGCCAATCTAGTTGGGCAAAGCAAGGCGGCTGGACACAAAGGTAGCCCGCTTTGGGTATGGACCCAATTCTGCCTAACAGTCTGGCGGGCGGGTTTGCCCCCCAAGACTTTGCCTCACTTGAGGCCGGCTGGGGATTCTCCCTGCGATAACCCAGAAAAGGGTGACAGAGGGAAACAGCCGCATTTCAAGGCATCTGTCATCCAGACAACACCTTCCATCGCTTTCTCAGAGGAAGGACTTGGGACTGTGAGGTCTTAACCCCCTGTGAGTGACCACCCGGGGAAGAGGGGTGCAATTCCAGACTCATTCCCTCAAATCTCAAGAGCTTTTAAGACACGTGAGGTACACATTTCATCGGCACGCCATCTGCGGCAGGACCCTTCCTGAGGTTCTGACCACAACCTGACCCGAAAGCAAGCTCAAAAGGAGCAGGGAGGGCCGACGCGGACGGTCAACGAAAGCCGACAGGGGTGTTGGTCTCGACGCAGGCAGCTGCCCCGGGGGGGGACGGACGGAAGACGAGCACAAGGAGGCCTCGGACGACGAGGGTGTGTGGGTGTGTGTCCCCGAAGTCCTTACCTTGGTCAAGTACTCCTTCATGACCTGAATGAAGTAGGGCATGGCGAAGTCCATGATGTTGTGCCGCCAGGCCGTCTCCAGCACCACGTCCGGCCGAAGGAGGTCGTAGCAGGTGAAGAGGCAGGCCCCGAAACACTCCTGCTTGCCCTCCTGGAGGAACCACTGGAGCAGCTCCTCGGCAAGCTCCGTATCTTTGGACTCGGACGCGTACTGCATGGCGTCCTGGAAGGGAACGGAGGGCAAAAGAGAGAGGGGGGCATCAACCAAGATGGGGGGGTCTCAACGCCCGGTCGCTTGCGGACAAAACCCCTTGACTGGGAGAGGAAGAAGGGAGAAGACCGACGAGCAGCGATCGGGCAAGCAAGCACAGACCGTCCGTCAGACACCGCAAAGAGGCCACCCACATTTAAGAAGCCTGCTACTCTACCCACGGTTGACTCATGGCAGAGGTACTCACATTCTTTAAAGCATGAGCTTCTCTGAAAGACCTGCCTATCAAAGACACGATCGTTACAATATTTAACACCCACTGAGTTTCTTACCAACCAACAGTGATTCTCTGGATTTGAGAATCTATACTTATTCTATTTAAAATATTTTCACCCTGCCTTTCCCTTCCAAAGGACCCAAGGCGGCTCACCTCGTTTAAAAGGACAATAGGCAAAAGCTAAAAACGGGAAGTGTGCGAATATTTAAAATGGAATTAAACAAGTTATCATATTAAAAATTGAAAATAACATCAGCGCTAAAAACGCATTTAAAAGCAACAGAGCAGAAAAATTCTCTCGGACTGCCAGTTGCTTAAGGGAAAGCCCGTTTGAGGAGAAAGATCTCGGCCTAGCTGCAGAAGGACAGCAAAGATGGGGCCATGCATAAATATTTGCCATGTTATGTCTCCTTCCTCTTATGTTTGATGAAGTGGACTTTTCCACAAAAGCTCAGATTAAAAAATATAAAAGTGACCAGGTGCCACCAGGTTTTTGTCTTCTTCTTTTTATCGTTTTCACCTCTCATTAAGAACAAACAGATGTCAAGAACAGATAGATTACGTCATCCTGGGAAGCGGTAGTTCAAAGAAATATGTTTTCCCAAGTCCTAGAATGGCCTAATCGGGAAGTTCCGGAAGCAAAAAACCGAGGCTGTGGGGTCCTGTGTGTTTCTAGACCCCCTCAAGATCCTGCAGGCCCTTCTCCCCTCTGCCCCTTTCCCTCTAGTTCATCACCTTATAGAGTCGGTCTTTCTTGCAGAGCTCCACGCTCTGCTTCCAGCGGTTATTGCCTTTGAAGAGATAGGCCGCGATTCTCCGGAACTCAATCAGCTCGTGTTTTTCCAGGCGCTGGGCGAGGGAGATGTTGTCAAAGTTGTCATAGGCGTCTATCGATGTCCGAAGAGCCTGGGAGAAGGGGGAGGGGAAGAGAAGAGCGGGTCAGGGCTTTAAATCGGAGAGGGGACCACGTATGTAGAGGGCCAGAGAGCCCCCCCCCCGCTTTACTAATCCCACCACCAAAATGACGACAGCTTTCTCCAGATTCTTCCTTTTTCTTTCGACTTTGCAGTACTGAACGGTTCTGGGGTTCAGGAGAACCCTTTAGCACACTCTTAAGACCATAAATGGCTGCTACAATGACCACCGGAAAAGTAAAAAGTGGGGTCAACCTGGCTGAGCCCAACCCCAGGGAGTCCCCCATTCATTCCTGTTTTCATTGGGGCTCTGCTAGCCATGGATCAGGATCAACAATATCCTTCAAAAGTCTGGATGTCCAAGGGGTGATGCAGACAGACAGACAGACAGACAAGAGGGACACCCGAAACGAGGCCCCTCTGTCCAAAAAGTCTGGATGTCCAAGGGGTGATGCAGCAGAGAGACAAGAGGGACACCCTAAAAGGCCCCTCTGTCCCGAAACGAGGCCCTTCTACCTGGTAGTCTTCTTCCGTAATGAAGAGGTTGTTGAGAGCTTCATTCACAGCTTTGTTGTTGTGGTTCTGAACGGAGCGCAGGTAGGGCTTCACCAAGGGCAGCTGCTTGACCTGCGGACAGAGATAAAGCAGCCTGACGACGTGACCTGCCAGGAGGGCTGCCTGGCGGTATCTCAGACGAAGGTCAAAGGGCCTTTGGGCTCCAAAGGCCCCTGGAGGGTGCAGAACACCACCAGCGGCCCGCTCCTTGTCTAGAGGCAGCTCTCTCGCTTTCTCTCTTGGCAAAGCGACCAGGACCCTAAACCAGGAGGTGGAGATGACCCCACACAGAACACCCCGTATCTTGTTCATCCAGCCTTGGGCCTGGGATTCTCTCTCTCTCTCTCTCTCTCTCTCACACACACACACACACACACACACAGAGACAGAGACAGAACTTAATGTCCCTGGAGTAGCACTGAAGTTTACATGTATTCACCGGAAGTCCTACCTGCCCACCTAAGTCTTTTTAACCTGATCTGTCCAACTAGTGTCTCCAACAACAATCAGTCTTAAGTTCTTGAACAGTCAGAACCTTAAACAGGTAAATCACTTTTAAAACAGGTTATCAACCATCGGAAGCGGTTTAACCATCCAAACAGACAAACTGAAAGATGGGAGACTGAGCCATGATGTTAACCAAGTGCCAAATGTTCGAGCGGTTAGCCAAGTTTAAATATGGAACTGAAACCATGTGGGCCCTGATCCGGACTCTTGACGGAGGGCATCCTGTGACAGACAAGGGTCCCTTTTTGACGCAGGGAGAGCATGTCTGGAGTGATGGGAAAGAAGAGACCCAGAACCCCACAGAACAAAGATAAGCCCCCTCTGTCTTGTCTGAAGCAGCCCCTTCGATCCAAACATACAGACCACCAAGGCTCTCTTTCCTGACGCGGCCGGCCGCGAAGGACTCCCGCCTACCTTGCTGAAGAAATTGACTGCGCGAGTGTGGTCCAGCCGAGGAGACAGCACCATTAACAGGTCATTGAGCAGCAATGGTTTAAATTCCAAGTAGAACTGGATCGCTCGGTAGTACAGCTCTACGTTGGCCACCTGCGGGAGAGAAAAGACAAGCGAGTCACTCCGACGGCTGGTGCGAAACACGGGTGCAGGCTTACAGCAAAGGAGAAGACACTCCTGGGTGGGTGGGGCCCAATCCATCGCTTGGTTCTGACAGCACAGTCCTTAGCAGACAAAGCAACTTCCTTGCCTATGGTGGCTCGCAAAAATCATCAGCAGCAGGAAGCTGCACACAGCCTCCGTCTCCCCATCCTAACGTCCTTGGATGTTGGGTGGGCTACGCAAGTAAGCCAGATTCCCTCACACCTATTTTTACACTCCTTTTGCCTCTGCCAAAAATAAATAAATAAATAAAAGATCCCCACAAAAACCAACATAGGAAGAACGGAATATATAAAAAGCAAGGTACAATATCTCCTGTGACCAAAAGTAAATGCCTTGTCAGAGGTGTATAGAAGCCCTATGAAGGCACAGAGTTGTTTATTATTATTATTATTATTATTGACAGTTGGTCAAGATGGCAGCACAAGCATTTGCAGCAGCTAGGCACTCCAGAGATCAATATCTTTTAACTATTTTGATTGTGTACTCCTTATTATGGACTCTATACTGATCCCACGGATAGGGGGGTCCTACTGTATATCTCTCTCTGGCTCAGCTGGTATGTTCTAGCTGGGATTAGCACTCAGATTCAGGCTTTGGAAGCTCAATCTGCTGCTAAGGCACTCTTAACAAGGCCCCGTCAGCGGTCTTCCAGGCATAAAAAAGAGAGGTAGTCCCGAGACCCGCAGGCCACAGAGAAATGGCCATTTGCAAGCGGAAATGTGCAAAAGGAAAGCGGCCGGAGTTCCTCCCCAATGTCAGCGGTACCTTGGTGATGATATCTTTGAACTGCCCTTCCTTCCAGGCATCCGTCGGGTGGTTCATCATCGTGATGATGGCATTATCATATTCCTCGTATTTGTCGTACAGGAAGACCAACTCCCCCCAAAGGTGGGCCTGTTCTGCGGCCCTCAACACCTACGGGGAGCGAAAAAGAGAAACTGGAAGAGCAGAGCTTTGGTCAGAGATTCCAGTTTTCTAGGTGCGTCTGACTTGAGCCATCCACACACCTTACTGAGCTTCAAAAAGCTTTCTCCAGTGGACCATTTTTTAAAAAATTTTTTACTTCAAATACTTCTAGTGAGCCATCCACACACCTTACTGAGCTTCAAAAAGCTTTCTCCAGTGGACCATTTTTAAATTTTACTACTTAAAATATTTCTACCCCACCTTTCTTCTTCAAAAAAGGGACCCAGCTCCTGCAACCCCCCTGTCCCACAGCGGGTGGGGGGGGATTCTATGATTCTTCGACGGGGGCTGGACTTAAATCATCTGAAGGGCACCCTTTCAGCTCTAATCTAGGAGCGAAGTTTGTGATTTCACCCCAAACCCTGAAACAGTCATTCTTTATCTCTAGAACAGCCAAGAACATCTCATGACAGTTCCTGGCCCCTGATCAACAAAAGAATGTTTCTTACAACAGTCTCCATCCTCCTCCTAAGGAGACTAGCACCTCTTCTCCCCTCTCCCCGCCCCCCTTTTTGTTAACCTACAGGAGGCCAGAAAGGAACAGCTGCTACCTTAGGAATGTTGACCCGCGACCAGAACAGTTCCAGGTGCTCCCTCATCTTCTGCGGCTTGAACTTGGAGTAGAGGATGGCCAGCTCGGTGAACATCCCCATGTGGGCTCGCTCCAGCCCTAGAGCAGCTTCCAACATGGTGATCAACTCCTCAAAGTAGCCCCGGTCCTGGGAAAGGGGGGGGGAAGAGAACAGCCGGGCCTCAGTAGCAGCAGCCTCTCTGGTCACCATCATCCCTGAAGGAAAGGAGGCCTCCCCGTTTCAGAGTCCTTTTAGAGAGGAGTCAGGACAGTTACCTGATAATAGTTGATGAGCTCCTCCAGTTCGTCGGCGTGGACGACAATGTGAAGGCCGCACATCTGGGCCAGCCGGAACTCTTTTCCGTCGACGCAGGCAAAACACACCTGGGGGGGAAAAATTGGTGGATTTTTTTTTAATTTTATTTTTTTTTGCTCAGAGAAATGAGAGAAACAGGGATGCTCCTCAACCTAGATTTAAATGCACCCCCCTAGGTTTCCTGCTGCTGCCCCCCCCTCTTCCACTCCCCCCCCATCCTCATCCCTGGACGATTGGATAGGAACCCTCCTTTCCTGAACCTGTCCTGGCCGTGCCCAGAGCAGAAAAAACCTCACCTCCTTCCAAGTCCGGGTGCTGTTGGCTTTCCGGGCTCCGTCCACAGCTGCTTGGTACTCGCCAAGGTGCACCAAAGTGGATGCCAGGCGACCAAAGTTGGACACGTTGTTGTAGAGAAGCTTGGCGGCATCGTACATCTTTTCGTCGTAGCAACGGTCCCCAACCTGTGAAGGCCAACCTTCGTTTTGTTTCTTAAAAATGTAAAATTGTTCAATCATCACGGCCACAAACACAAATACACGCATACTGTTCCATGCTTGTAAGTGCTGTCCGTACGCACCGTCAAGATGGAACAAACTTTGTGACCCTAAGAGGGCTTTCGAGGGAAGCGAGATATTGAAAGAGTGGCTTCACTAATTCCACTCCCCCAGTGAGTTTCCTTGGTGGAACCGGAATTTGAACCCAGGCCTCCTGAGTTAAAGTCTGTCACTCTATCCGCTACGCCACACTGGGTAGCGCTTATTAAGGTGGCCTGAAAAAAGTTTTAATAAACATACAATCGCACAAAGCCATAGGTGATACGGACCCGTGGCCTCTAACCTGGCGCCTCCCCTCCTGAGTTGGACTACATCTCCTATCATGTCCAGACAGCAGGACCCTTTTGGCCTGGAGATCATGGGAGTTGTCGTTAAACCAACCAGGAGGTCTGTGGTTTCGGAAAAGCAAACAGAGACTTTCCATCGTGGGCAAACAAACCTTCTTTTGGAACAAAATCGCAGTTCAGTCGTTTGTCTTGTAAAATCATCAGCACCACCACCTCTAATTTCAAAGAACTCATTTCTTCCATTTTTAATTCCACCCTTTCTCCTTGAACCCATTCTCCTGGGAAAGCCAACGAACGAGGAGAAGCAGGGAGCACCCGGCCCAAATTCGCAGAGCACAATTCATGCTTTACGAAGTGGGATCTGAATTGAGGATTCCTAATCCAGGATCAGTCCTAATCTACTCCAATCCCTATACACCATACACCAGTGCATTAAAAATATATGTATCTCTCTCTCTCTCTCACTTCAAGTAACCTTTGTGTCTAAAGCAGTAACGTACACACAGAAACATACAGAAACTGGGAGTAAAATTCAGGGAATTTCAAGTCAGGACCCCACCCAAGCCCTCCAGAGAAAGGAAAAGCAGGAGCTTTTCCAGAAATAAAGGAAAAATCCCCTCCATATGTATGCCCAAGAAAATCCAGAGAGGATGACTCACTTGCTGAATATGGGCATTGTTTGGCCCATTGATGAATTCTTCCAGCTCGGCCAAACGGTTGGTTTTCGCGAGAGCAAAAATGAGTTCCGTCTCCACGTAGGATTCCCGGGCTTTCCTGCGCGCCATCTGCAAGTATTTGACCAGCTCTTCCCAGTTTCCTAAGGGTTTGTTTTTTGGGGGGCGGGGGCGGAGGAGAAACAAACAGGAACACAAAGATAGCTCAAGGTCACACGAGGGGAAAGAACGGCAGGTCAGTCCACGAATCCATCCCGGGGGCGAAGGGGGTCCTCTGCCTTTTCAGCCATGGTTTGAAAGCCAGCCTCGAAAGGGACAGGCTGATCCAAGAACAAGTGAGATATTTTTTTTTAAAAAAAGAAAATTAAAAATTAAATAAGGGGTTGGCTTGAATCATCCCAGCATTTGCAAGGCTGGCGCAGGCAAAAAGGACAAGCCACCAGCCTCCCGATGAATTTCTATTTCCACTTAGATTCTGGCTGTGTGAGGAGTCTTGTCCGAGCCAAACAGTCGCTCATTCTTGCTGAACGGAACACAGGCTTCCCAAAACCGGGAAAGGGAGAAAAAAACGGGTCAGCCGAACAATCCAGTTCTTTGTCATCCCTCTGTTACACTGAATGTGTCTGTTCTTACACTCCAGGGAGTGGATAAATGTACTTCACATGTACTCGGGGTCCCTGGCCATGAGGAACAAGAAGAGGGCCAGATTCTGATCTCCCCAGCACCACACATTTCAAAGGGGGACCCTGATGAAGAAAAACAGACTCTTCGCCTAGCGGGGATCGCTCAGAGACGGGGCAAGAGAGAGCAGCCACCGGGAGTAAGTTAGCATAAGGCACGCTGTCTTTCTCTGGCCGCTGGGATTCAACGGAGGGTTACTTTCACCACCGAACATTAGGTGCCAACTGGAAGCAAGCAAGCAATGAAAGGGAGAAACTGGGGCAGTCTACGAGTTGGGGTGGAAGGATCCAAACCAACTTTCACCAAAAAAAAAGGAAGGAGTGTGTGTGTGTCAGGATTACAGCGCTGCTCCATCTGCCAAGGAGAACTGACGTCGCCTTTCTGCTACAGGGAACGGCATGGAAAAAGGAACTTTTCTTTCTGTGCAATAGGCTGAGAGAACGCCCCCCCCAACTTGGCACAGGAAGAGAACTCCCTTCCTTTCAGTGGCTCCATGGTGAAGGACTCGGCAGATGTAAATAATCCACAACGGCAGCTCTTTGCAGGCAGAGGAGTCTGGGTTCGAACCCTGGTGTCTCAGGGAAGAGAAGCGGCCGCTACTAGATCAGTACTGGGAGGACAGATCCATTGTCTGGCCCAGGATAAGGTAGCTTTTGATGGTTGTAACCCTGCAGCTTATAAATATCACTGGACTTCCTTGCCGCAAGAGCCTTCTGTCAACGGTTGCATGGGTTCATTTACTATTCCCTTTGCAAATACCTGTTTTTCCTAAAATCATCTCGTTACCATTTTGTTCAGCACAAAACTGAGCTGCCGGATCGCTCACTGAGGGCGAGTGTTGGATGCCTCTACTCTGCCTCCCTGACAGGGGCTGGAATGGATGCTCTAAGTCTCTTCCAGCTCTGCAGTTCTAAGATGATTATTATACAAACAGACCAGGAGCACGGTGGGATGAACTGCCAGAGCAGAAGAAATGCGTAAACCTGAGACTCGATTCTCAAGCCTTTGAACCCTGGAAAGTATTAGACCTTCCACAAAAGATTCCGGAAAAAGCTGAAAGAGGAGGACAGAGTAAGAATCCCCAGAGCCGTACCGCTGGCGTTGGCAGCCTGGACGACTTCCATGTATGATGATGGGTCGTCGGCTTTGATGTAAGAATCGATGGCCTCCTTCACCATCCCCTTCTGGAGCTGGGCTTTGGCAAGCTGGCTCCACACGGCCGGCTCGTTGCAGCGCTCGGCGAACTCATAGGCCCGGTCCAAGTTGCCGATGTGTTCAATCAAAACCTAGGGAAGAAATTCCTTCTGTCTTGCAGTTGGGTCACTCCCACTTGAAAGGTGACTTGAGGTGAGAAGGCGACCCACCGAAAGCCCATTTCAGAAGAGGCCAAGAGCCAGAATCGTGTCCTTTTCTACATGGGAAACGCCCGTCCCAAAAGAAACCGGGGGGGGGGGTGTCACCACTTGAAAGAAGGTGACTTGTGGTGAGAAGGCAACCCACCGAAAGCCCGTTTCAGAAGAGACCAAGAGCCAGAATCGTGTCTTTTTCTACGCGGGAAACGCCCGTCCCGAAATCCAGACGCACAGAACTCCAGCGTTACCTGCACGGCCGATGTGTTCACATCAAACTTCCGGAAGATGGCAAGGGGGGGGGGTGTCACCACTTGAAAGAAGGTGACTTGTGGTGAGAAGGCAACCCACCGAAAGCCCGTTTCAGAAGAGACCAAGAGCCAGAATCGTGTCTTTTTCTACGCGGGAAACGCCCGTCCCGAAATCCAGACGCACAGAACTCCAGCGTTACCTGCACGGCCGATGTGTTCACATCAAACTTCCGGAAGATGGCAAAGGCCTCCTCAAAGAGCTCGTTGCTGATGGCGATGTTGGCAATATCCGGAGCGTCATAGTTGTCCAAGCGGTTGATGTATTCCATGACGCGGGTGCGGTCGGCCTTGATGGCCGTCAGGATGAGGAGGTTCTGCAGGTTCCTGAAAAGAAAAAGGAAGGGAGTCAAGCTAGGAACTCAGTTCTGCCTCCAACCTGACATAGCTACCGACAAGGGGTAAAAGGATCGTACGGCATAAAACTTTAGCCAGCAAATAAATCCAGTGACTGACTGGACCTCAGAAGTGCCCTGCTCTGCTCTGCAGTTACAACACAGACCTGAAGGGTATAGTTAGGGTTTCCCTTCCGATCGCCAGGACCCTCTGTATCCACACTTGAAAGACTATACATTCTGTGCATTTTTAGGGGGGAAGGGAATCCAATTCAAGGCAACCTGGACTCTGGAATGGGAAGTACAGCTTTGGTTGGCCCACAAAGGCCAAACAACCCCAGAAGATAAACTGGGCAGTTGTACTCCATAGGGGGACTTGTGTTATCCTGTTGCAGCAAAAAACAACAAAAAATGGTGGTATCTTAGTAGATCAAATTTAACACATTTGTTTGAACAATACTATTTGCTGGCTGTGCAGTTTTAAGTTGGTGGCTTCCAGAGTCAAGGTGAAGGGATAGGATATATTCAGGGCCCTGGAGGTCCACACCCCCCCCCAAGGCCAGTGGAGATCTGACTAGGCAGACTGTTGGCCAGCTTTTGAGACATCTCCACACATGGTCTCCAATCTTTCAAGGTTCTCTCTCTTTCAAATCTGTTCGATTTTTTCAGTGGGGAAGAGAGAATGCCAGGGACCGACCTATGTTCACTGAAGACGGAATTATCGAGAACAATCTTCTCCAGCAGTTCAATGAGTTCGTTAGGAAGGTCGGCGGTCATGAAAGCCTTGACGGTCACTGACACTTCCTCGGGGTCCTGAGTCTCCGAAAGCGCCGTCTGCACCACCTGCCGACACAAGAGGGAGTCAGGCGAAAGGCGGCCGTCACCAGCCACTGAACGGGCTTCCAAGATTTCACAAACCACACACACAGCGACAACCCCAACGGAAAAATTCACGAGCGGTACCTGGTCAATCAGGGGCCTTCGGTAAGGGTTGCTCTCCAGGAGGACGCTGGCCCAGAGTTCAGGATCCTTGCGACGCACTAAGTAACGGGAAAGACTTTTGAAGAGGGAATTCTCATTGCATACCTGGAAGGCAAAGGAGAA